TATTGAAATATTTTAATTATCACATATATATTGCTTTGTAAAACTTTTGATGTAATTTTGAATTATATAATTTATACTCCCTCCGTCCCAAAAAAAAAGAGATGGTTTGACTTTTTGGGAAATTAATGGAGAGATATGTTGGTATTGACTTTCCAAAAATATATTTGATGTGATGGGTAAAAGTAGGATGTGATGGGTAGATTATTAGAAAAAAGATTTGATGTGATTGATAGGGTATGAAAAAGTAAGGAGTAAAAGTGGTTTTTAATAGAAATGTAACGAATTTTACGAGACGCAGCTTTTTCTAAACGTAACAAACTTTTTGGGACGGATGAAGTATTTTTTATTTATATACTAAATTGTAAATAAAATCATTTAAAAACATAAATATTAGTCAAAATAAATTAAATTTTACCGGTCAAAAAATTTGATCATTTGATAAAATAAATGTTTGAAATATTTTGTCACATATATATTACTTTATACTACGGGTAGAACCTTTTACTTAATTTTGAATTGTATAATTTATATTTTTTATTTATATGCTAATTTATAAATAGAATCATTAAAAAAAATAAAAGTTTACATTGTTATTCAATGTAGAAAGAAAGATGGAATAAGTTATTTATACCCCAATTTGTACACCGCAAATTTGCATCTTCATTTTGTATCAATGTAATGTTAGAGTGATAATTTACACAGAAACAAAATGTTAATGCAAATTCTTGTTAACACACCATCATTTTGTGTTAGTGTGAATCATTAAAATATTACGAAGTAGTATATACCTTTAGTAGAATTTTGAGATACTCCCTCCGTCCCAAAAAAATCTTCCTTTTTCATTTTTGCGCATCCTATAAAACACTTTTACACACATCTAAAATGTCTAAAATTTACCATATTTTTCGTTTATTATGGATAGAAGTTGTTTTGAAAGTTTTTTTTTCATTTGAGACGGGATAGAAATATTTTATAAGATGCGCAAAAAATGAAACTGAAAAATCTTCTTGGGACAAAGGGAGTACATTTTTGGTGGAATTAGTGTATACTCTACCAACTCCACCCATTGATGTACACTGTGTATGAATGGAAAAGCCATGTGAGAGACATATGGGCTATATGTACGAGGTACATGTAGTCCACGTGCCTTTGTGTACGGACATAAGAGCATCCTCGATTCCCACGCTTCTCTCTCTTCTTCTTCGGACCGGAATAGTTACCTTACGACGACCCCAAGTTGGAATCGAACCACACACACTTTGAACCGAGTTAGGCCCCGTTCCGTTCAATTTATTTTTTTTTATTTTTTCTTATTTTTATTAAAATCAGATCAGATCAGACCAGATCAGATCAGATCGAATCAGATCAGATCAGATCGAATCAGATCAGATCAGATCAGATCGAATCAGATCAAATCAGATCAGATCCAATCAGATCAGATCAGATCCAATCAGATCAGATCAGATCCAATCAAATCAGATCAGATCCAATCAGATCAGATTAGATTCAATCAGATCAGATCAGATCAGGACTTATTAAAATCAGATCTCATCAAGAATTATTATTATTATTATTATTATTAATATTAATATTATTATTATTATTAATATTATTATTATTATTATTATCATCATCATCATCATCATCATCATCATTATTGTTCTTAAAAATGAAAAAGAATAAACTTTAGAAATATGTTAAATAGAAAACTGAGAAAGTAATCCTTAATTCTTAGACGTCGGAAAAATTAGTTTTAAAATACATTGACAATGTCAATCTAATATACTTTTAAAATGTATTTTATTGCTACTTGTAATTTGAGTTTCTAAACTTTTGATCTTGTATAAGGATGAGATATTTTAATAAAAATACTATCTCTTCTATATATTGATTATCTAAATTTAATTACTTTTTAATGTATATCTAAATTAAATATTTATTATAATGTATAATTCTAATTTTACAAAAAAACTATCATAAAATAAAAAATATTATTACATTATCATATGAATGATTATTCTAATATATGAAATTTGAAATTTTATCATAATCATAATTAATTTGAAATTTTAAATTAAATCATAATTAATCAGATCAGACCAGATCAGACCAGATCAGATCAGATCCAATCAGATCAGATCAGATCCAATCAGATCAGATCAGATCCAATCAGATCAGATCAGATCCAATCAGATCAGATCAGATCAGATCTAATCAGATCAGATCAGATCAGATCAGACCAGATCAGATCAGAACTTATTAGAATCAGATCAGATCAGAAAAAATAAGTTGAACGGAACGAAGCCTTAGTTAGGGCACTTAAGTTATAATGGGGCACACTCCTGCCCCGACCCAATTCTTGGATTTCCTCCAACATTATTCCTTTTTTGAATTTCCCCTAGCTTGAGTAGTAGGAAGTTCGATCTCCAACATTTCTCCTCCAAGAGATACTAGTTTTGAATGATTCAATAACATTTAAAAAATTTATTTCTTTCTTATTTTACTCAATGCCAAAACATATGGAAATCTATTGTCTTCTCACATCATCTTTTTATTCATTTTATATTATCCGTTACTTTAATTAAAAATTTTAATAATTTAATGAAAATATTTTTCTATTAACAGAAATAGATAAATAATAATTGAAAATAATAAAGGATTATAACAATTAGAAAAAATTAAAAATAATTTAAATTTATTTTACATTATTCTTCACTTTTAATTAAAAACTTATATAAATAAAAAATACGTAACTAAAACAAAAATGCTACCATACAATGACACTCTTTAAATAAAAACGCTAACATACCTCGTCTCTGAACACATGCTCCACTCTTTCTATGCCGACTCTTAGTTTTGCACGAACAATATAATGCTTTTTTCTGTGCAAACAATGCCCCTTTTTTGATTTGTCGTACACATGATAGTTTTCACAAACACTGACGATTGTGGATAGATCTCATACGCCAAATAATATTTCATGTTATATTGGTGATTAACAATGGTTAATCACACAATTGGCACACATCCAGTGCACACATCGTTGAATAAAGAAGATCTATTCAAAACATTCATATCATTATTCCATCAGGCAACTCCAAATTATGCATGCTAGATCCACAAATGATGCTCGACAATGGCCTCAAACACAATCGTCGGGTGTGAGCCCTTGTAATCGTTTGTGAACGCACCCCTCCACACCACAACATAATTTTCACTCACAGTGCATACATTCAAAACCACCCATCATCCCTGTAACTCATGCACATGCTGGTGCATATTGACTAACATTTGAACATTTTGGGCAATCGATTTTCTGCAAGTATGTATCCTTGAAAGCGTCAATGACATTTCAACAAAAAAGTTGCAAGCATTCTCGGCCCTTAGAGAGGCCAATGTGGAGGTCTCGTCGAAAAGGTCAACACAATTGCCCAATTGGTGCCATACGCGAGCTGCCTAAATGCAATTGTGCACTTTTGTATAGTAGATATAGGCCCTCTTGTCCAACACTGTCTAAGCACTATTGGAAATACATATCCCGATGTGAGCGTGTCTCCAATGCGAGACACATTCAGAAATGTCGATGGAACTGGACGTCGGAAGAATGCGGGTCATTTGAAAAATAATCTTCAAACAATTCAACAGCGAGTGGTCTGGTCACATTTCTGTTGAATGTACATCCAGGTACGTTGAACGAGATGAGTGGCCATCACATTCTTTCGTGCGATTTCACTTTCGATCTCATTTTAGATTAGAAGCAACTTAACGATTCCTCGTAACATTTATACAACCATGCCAAAAGACACTCAATGTATGTTAGAGTATGCAATATGTCTTGGGCCTATAATCACAAGTTTGAGATGTTGGTTGAATCGATTCATTGACATGATATCGGAGTCTTGATGACCAAGATGTCACGAGTTCAAACCTCACTACCACCCTGCTTGATAAAATTAATTTTTACGTGCAAGACTCGAGCAAAAATAAATCCCGTCTGCACATGAGGGGCGTATTAGAGTATTATGGATGAGCAAGTAACGAACGATACCGAAAACTCTTGAAAAAATGAGAAAACCAAACCGAAAAATACCACTAAAATACCGAACCGTACCAAACCAAATGTTCGCTTCGGTATTTGGGAACGGTATGAGGTAACTTCCCATACAGAAAATCCCGAACCAAACATATATACCAATACATTATAAATATAATAATCTTTTTATTTTTATTCTATAAATCATAAGTTTATTTTTAAAATTTGGTTCAAAATTTGTTATTTCTAATTATATTGTACTTTTATTTGAATTTTTAATTTTTTAGTTTGTTGTGTTTCAATTTTTAAATATACTTTCGATTTAAAAAAAAGATTTTTTTTACATTTTAAAGTTTAAATTAGGTGTGTATGTATTCATCCCAATTTATAACGAAACCGATAACGCACCATCCCAAATCATACCAAACCGAAATTTCAGAAATGGGATCGGTACAATGTGAAATCTCTCACCGAATCAAAATATTTGGTACGGTATTGGTACGAACTAAATATCGTACCATGCTCAATAGAATATATAATATACCTTGGGCTTACAACCACATGTTTGACCTGTTGCTTGAGTTGGTTCCTTGATAATGTGCATCATCCAAAGTTTATTCTATAGAGACATAATTTGTTTGATCACATATATATGCGTTGTATATCTGTATCGTGTTTATATAAAATCTTTGGTTTAATGATTCATTGACATTAATATATCAATCAACACATTGCTGACTAAGAGGCCACATGTTTAAATTAAATCTTACCGCCATTCTATTTAAAAGAATTATTTTCCGGATGCAAAGCTAGAGCAAACACAAATCGCACTTGCGCATGAGGAGATGTGTTACATCAAAGCATAAGCCCTTTCATGGATACCACCATTGCACATGCTTGAGATATTGGTTGAGATTGTTTATCCATATGCTATAGATATGTATTTCGTCACATTTAAATAGGAGTTGTATATATACATAGACTCCACATTTAACATTTTAGTTAACACTAATTACTACATTCAAATTATTTCACTAAGTTTACTTGTAAACTATAAAATAGGCATTGATAGTAAAGAAGAATATGTTATTTTTGGTATAAATATATGCACCAATAAAAAGTTCTGGAATGGGACTTTATAATAGCATAAAATTGTAGACTTTGTACTTTGGTAAGCAAAAAAAATCCATTCATCTAAGTTATCAACTACTACTATAAAGTGTAAACAAGAATTATGACCAATAAGAAAGCTAAGTTAGGCACCAATGTTTGGCCAAATATGTAACCTAAAAAATTAGCAGAACTGGTCCCCTGTCCGTACATAAATTACCCCCACCTGCCCTCTCAAATATAAATGGAATCTTACCTTCCCAAATGGGGTAATTTCAACTACAGTGCCTTCCTAGTTCCATATCTCTTTCCCCTCAAATCCCTTTCTTCTAATCACATCTTCTTTTCAAAATCATTTTTAAAATATTTTTTAACAAAATATACTACGGGGTATTTCTTATTCTTCTTCTGAAAAAAGATACTCTTACAACTCTATGATACTCCATTCATTCCCAATTTAATTACAAATTAGAGTTTGCAAGGAGAAATATATCATTTTTGAAATTATTTTATTTATAAATTGTTAAATCGATAATAAATAAAAATTACATATTCCATCCGTTTGGAAAAAGTGTTCCTCTTTTGATTTTGTATAAAAATAAGGAAGTATTAAATTGTAATTAACTTCCAATTTTGCCCTTGATGTGATAGGTAAAAGTAAAATGTGATAGATAGATTATTAGAGATAAAGTATGACGTGATAGGTAGGGTATAAAAAAGTAAGGGTAAAAGTGATTTTTTAATGAAAATGGAAGTGTTTTGTTGGAAGTGAAAAAAATGAAAGAGGAAGTGTTTTTGAGAATGGAGGGAGTATTAAGAAAGTGAAATTTGCACTAAATAGGACTAAAACATAATCACTTTCTTAACGTAGGACTTAAGTTTTTTTATTCCCTAAATAGGACTTAATAATGACCTAGTGGGAGAAATAATGTCCAGTAATGATGAACATTTAGTTGAATAATGACTACTTGATAATGACCAAAAGTCCTACATTGGGAAATAAAAACATATGGTCCTATATTGGAAAAGTCATTATGTTTTAGTCCTATTTAGGTAAATTTCTCATTAAAAAACTATGTCAAAAGTTCTACAAAATAAAATGTGACAAAAATATTTTATTTTATCAAATACTTAATGAAATCGCGTAAACAAACAAAAATTATCGAGAGGAGAGAGAGAAAAATTGTAATGAAATTGGGGATGTAGGGAGTACAAAAAAGGCCATGATTTGGTCTAACAAGAAATTTAACAAAAAGAAAATTATGTGGTTAATTAAATGTGATGCAAGTATTTTTTTTAAAGCTGCAAAAATGAAATGAGTAATCTTATTTTGTGACAAAGGGAATGAAAATTTATGGAGTATTTTTTTAACAAAGTCTGGCATAAATATATTGATTTTCATTATTTTATTGAATACTTTTTCAATATTTTTTTGTAATTTTTGTGGAGTCAAAGTGCAAAAATTAATTTGGGACCAATTGATAGAGAGAGAGAGAGTATTTTATTTAAAATAAATATTCTCACTCACTTTAACCTTTTACTCTGCAAATGGAAATTCTTGTTCTTCTCTATCTTCTCTCTCTCTCTCTCTCTTCTCTAGGGTTTCCTGATGAGTTTCCAACTTCAATTCTGGGTTAAGTTGAAGAGTACTTCTTCATCACCATTTCTGCCATCTGGGCTTTGATCTTTTGATCTAAAGGTTTGTTTTATTGATTTTTCTTAATTACTTCTCATCTGTTCTTCAAGTTCCTTTTTTCCTTCTTCAATCAATTCTTGTTAAAGGAAATAAATATATTCCTATATTTGGTTAATATTTTTTTTTTAAATATATTATGCTGCACCATAGATCTTTTCAAATAAGAAAATTTGTAAATAAGAGATAAATGTATTTTCTTATTATAATAATGATTTAGTACTTGATATATGAGAAAAGTTTATATTTCTTTTAAAGATTGTAGCTCCATATAAAAAAAATCACCTTAATTGTTTCTTCAACTCCATTATATTCAAGGTCTTTTAGGGTTTGAGAGATCTCTATCACAAAGATCTTAACTCAGCACTTTTTCTCATAAATTGATCTATCTGCATTTAATTATTGAATTTAAAGTAGCTTAATTAATTTAACTATTTAAGTTGCCCAAAATAATGTTTACCAAACACGATTTTAAATATTAACCCAGTACTACTCTATTTTTTCTATGTCTTTCTTTTCTTTTGATTTTTTCACAATCTCTTATTAATGTAATAATTTTTTGATCATTAAAATATATTTATCTATATATATTTAATAAATTTATATTTTTAAATTATTTGATATTTCAAAATTACGTACGCTTTGAAAAGAATTTCCTCCTTGTGTTCCATGAAACTTTTCTACTTTTACATTTCATTTATCCCAAAAAGTATATTTTCCACTTCTCGATCAGTATTAATTTACTCATCACGCCTTATCTTACAATAAAGTAATTAAATATAAAATGAGAAAGTAATGCTGCATCTAAATGGCACATTCTTCAAATCACACATTTTTTTCATAGTAAAAAGTTTTATGTGACGGAGAGAGTGTTATTATTAAAATTATATACAAAGTGTAAATTAAATGTATTTTTTTTTAAAGATTTGACTATTTGAGGTAATATTTTAATTAAAAATTTTGACCAAAATTGTAAAAAGACTAAAAGACTAAGAAAGATACAGGATGGAGAATAGTGAAATAATGTTTTTTTGTGTGGCCAAACATAGTCTTAACATAGTTGAATCTTAATAGATGATGATCAAGAGGTATATTGACATCGCTGGTCTGGAGGGTGTGCAAAGTGGCTAATCGCACAGGACAATTAAAATTTTAAGGCTCCATATATTTAAATTTATCATTAATTTTGAAGCATAAGTATTTTAAAATACTCCATAATAAAATATGGGTCAAAATGTAAATTTCAGACTAGTCTAATTTCATTTTTTTATTTTTCGAGACCAGCTGATATTGATGTGAGTATAGGTAAATACTAAAGTGTTCTGTTTTTTTTTTTCTTTTCTTACTCCGTATTATATATCAGAGATCTGAGTTTTCTTGGTATAATTTATAATAATGTTCATTAGTCACAGAAAAACCCTAAAGAAGAAAAGAGAGTGAAATGGTGAGACAGAAGATAGAGATAAAGAAGATAGAGAATTTGACAGCAAGGCAAGTGACATTTTCAAAGAGGAGAAGAGGGGTTTTCAAGAAAGCCAAGGAACTCTCCACCCTCTGCGATGTCGATGTCGGCCTTGTCGTCTTCTCCGCCACCGGAAAACTCTTCCACTATGCCTCTCCCAGGTTTGCCCCCGTCGCCGCCGCCACCACCACCTCACCTCCTCCTTAATTAAATGATTTAAATTCATGCTTACTATTGCTCTCTTTTGTTTCAAAATAAAAGTTTGAGTAGTTACTATTCAAAAAGTCAAATTATACTCCCTCTGTCCAAAAAAAGATTACAAAACTTCACCATTCAAAAGTCACGAGGTTTCTCCTCAACAAGTTAACCAAATAATATTTCCTCCGTCATGTAAAAGTTTTCCAATTTTAATTTTTGGGTAAAGATTTCTTTTTAAAAGTGACATTTCACGTCAATGAATAATTAAAAATTATGAGGAGTAATTAAAAAACAAAATGTAAGATGAGATGTGATTTGGGAAAAATAGGGTTAAAGAGGGGTATCTTAGTCCATTTTAGTGAAATTAAAATGTTTTACTGGACAGATAAAATAAGAAAGTTGAAATGTTTTGCGGGACGGAAGGAGTATATGATTGTCAATCTTTTATTTTATATGCCTTCTCATGCAGTTTTTTAAATATAAAAATTTTATTTTTATCTCCACACAAGTTTTTTTAATTGGTAAATTGAAAATAAATTCAAAAGAACCACTATAATTGTAAAAAATAATTAAGGCATTTTTTTTAGTTTGTTCCAAAATAAAAATTTTATTCCATAATTAAGTAATACTGGTTATGTTTTATTAATAATGGATACCTATATAAAAGCATGGAGGGAGTGATTGCAAAGCACAACATGTACTCGGAGAGTGTTGAGAATGAGCATCAACCACTTCCCACTGTCCAGGTATATATAATTTTTTAATTTTTTTTAAAAATTGTTTTTATAATATTCTTAAAATTTAAAATTATTTTTATTTGAAAAAAATTTAACATATGCTGCATCTGTACGTCTTAAGTTAATACTCTGTAATTTTTATATTTTGGTGTCTAAAATAGAAAAATTAAAGATTTATTTTGAAAACTTCAAAAAAAAATGAGGAATAAAATAAGAAATAAAATAAAAAAAATTAAAATGAATATTCTTGTTGAACATTCCAATTATAAAGACCTTTTTAGGTGTTCCGAAAATTCCTTTTTGTATAACTCATTTTTTTAGATGCTTAATTTTTTTCATTTCGTTTTTCCATATTTTTATTTTTTTATTTTTTATTTTCTTATTGAACTCACCAAAAACATTACGGAGTATTATAGAAAACAAAAGTTAAAATGTTTAATTTGAGATAGGTGGAGTATATGTTATTTTTTATTTTTATCTCAAAGAGACAGAATGTTGAATTTTTAAAACTTTATTAAAATTTAAAATAAATTTAAAAAACTATTCTAGGAAAATAAGAAATGAGCGTTGTGCTCTCAATGGTTTAGAAAATAGGCATAAATGCTCCCTCTTCGCTGGAAAATGACCGGAAAATGATCGAAGGAGTTGTGGGTGCAACGTTTTGAAACCATGAAAACTTTAGAAATAAATTTCAAAAACTGAGTGAGTACTCATACCAGTTTTCCAAACCACATGGGACACTGAAGCTATTTGGCCACTAAAGGTTACAGTTAGAGAGCCTTTTAGAAACATTAATACTAACTTCTAAAGTTGATGCCAAACGAGGCCTTAATCAATTCATACACAATTTGTTGAAGTTCCCATATCCAAAAATAGAAATGAATACTACTAGCATACATACTCGGATAGCTCATTTTGTTTGTTCTAAACCTACGTAAAACTACAAGGAAGAATCGAACTCGGTCTGAACCTGACTCAAATACCATGTTAAAATTCCAGTGTGTCAAGAACAACGAGTTGAGTGTCGGACTGTCGGGTAAAATTAGTTACTTGTATAAAAAGTCATCAGGATCGCCTATTCTAGCCCAAAAACTCAATGGCGGATCCACTAAGGAAGAGTAGGGGGCAAATGCCCCCAACTAATTTCTTGTGATAAGTTAAAAAAATATTATTTTTTAAAATTTTATATACATATGCCCCCAACAAAAAATTAATGTGATCTTATCTAATTTGGTCAAATTTAAATTTTTTGTTTAATTTTTTTAGTAAAGAGTATTTTATTGTATAAAATTACTCCGTAATTGTTTATAAAATAAAATTTCACTTTACATATTAAAAAATATTTTACATTTAATAAATATTTGAAATAAGACTTGTTATTTTTTGTCATTTCAAATAGTTTATCAAAAAATGTAGCGACGCTTCTAGACTACCGATCAATGATGCCCCCATCTACTTCAATTTCTGGATCCGCCACTGCAAAAACTTAAGTTGATAATTAGTGCTTCACCCTTCTATATATACTAGTAGTATTTATCTTTATTTTCCGATATGGCGTCTCTAACACAATTAATCCTACTCTACGATTGTCAATTGAAAATATCATCCCTTTTCTTTTTCACCCCTGACAAAAAATTTTTTGCCTAAAGAAAAAGAATAAATATATTTTTGGTATCTGTGAAATGAACGATATTTACTACGGAGTACTTATTCCTCCAAAACATCTTCTGTCAAATCATCCCTGCAAAATATTTGTTTTTGCAAGAACAAATTGTTTAACTTTTTTTTGGGTATAACACTCTTTTTCACAGCAAAATTAATAAATGGAGCGTAATTAAAAGCCTTGGCATTTTCAAAAAGAAAAAAAAAACTTGGCATCTGGGTTTAGAAGATTTTTAGGAAGAAATATTAAGTTTAATGCTCCGTAATAATAATAATAATACTCATAATATTATAAATAAAAATAAAAATAATACTCATAACAATAATTAATAATAATAATAATGTACTCCCTCCGTTTGTAAAAAAGGTTCCTACTTTGACTTGGAGCCAAAATAAGGAAGTGTAAAATTATAGTTGACTTCCAATTTTGCCCCTGATGTGATGGTAAAAGTAAGATGTGATGAATAGATTATTAGAGAAAAAGTATGATGTGATAGGTAGGGTATGAAAAGTAAGGGTAAAAGTGGTTTTTTAATGTAAAGAGGAAGTGTTTTGTTGGAAGTGAAAAAAATGAAAAAGGAAGTGTTTTAAAAAACGGAGGGAGTACTTCATATTTAATTATAATTTTGTTTAAATTGCAGAGAGAAAGTGTAACCTGTGCCGCGCTAACCAAGGAACTTGCCGATAAGAGTCAGGAGTTGAGGTATTGATTAGATTATTACCGACTTACCGTACCGTCCTTTCCTGTTAATTATTCTTCCCCATGCAGTAGTAGAATTTATTTATAGGGGTGAATGATGGGTAAAATTATCTTTTTCTTTTTTAAAAATTTCCACACACAAAAAAGATGATTTTGGAACGCCATTAAAATTCATCTATGCAAGACTGCAATATTATTTTGGGGAATTTACGTAAATAGTACTAAACTATAGTAACTTCCCAATGTACGTAGTACCATATATTTTTACTTTCCAATGTAGTTTCACTATTCAATGTCTACTGATCATTGTTCAAGTAAATGTCCAATGCCACTAGACATTGTTCAAACTAAATGGCCACTAGACATAACTCACAATTATTTTGCAATACGGTTCCTTTGGCATTGACATTCAACATCATATAGCTTAAAAATAGATTGGTAAGATCTACTTTTTTTGTACTTACAAATGGCTTTTAAATCAGCTTAATTACCAGCAAAGGGAAATCCTTCATCACCTGAATGCACTTTACTCATTTTCATTATGAGAGATTCGAGAAACTATTACCCTTTTCCAAATCTTGTGCGTGGAAGTTATTCCTACCTCCAAAGTCCAAACCCTTCAATCTCTCTTCAAAATCTTGATTGGCAACGGTGGGTGCATATTTTGGGATTGATAACAATTTTTGGACCCAACGGGCTACCGTAGGTGTCCTGAATTAACCAATAACATAATATGATATTGACGGACAATATCAAAAGAACCAAACTCTTGTTTTTAGATTATCCTACAAAAATATAAATTACGGAGTAAATAAAAACGATTGAATACAATGGATTTAAATAGTAACGACGACGTCGTATGTACATGTGCAAGACAGGCAACTCAAAGGAGAAGATCTCGAGGAAGTTGGGATGGCGGAGTTGATAAAACTTGAGAAACTTATCGAGGGTGGACTCCGTCGGGTCGCAAGGAAAAAGGTACATCCAAAAAAAGAAAGCATAAATTTTATTTCGAGACGGAAGGAGTAATTTAATTTGAAAAAAGTTTGAGAACTAGATTTATATATGGCTTGGCTTGTTTTCCAAGTTTTATTTATTTTATACTCCCTCCGTCCCACAAAACCCTTCCGGTTTTGACTTTGGGAAAAAATAAGGAAAGTGTAATTTTGGTTGACTTTCCAATTTTGCCCCTGATGTGATGGGAAAAAGTAAGATGTGATAGTTTGGTTATTAGTGAAAAAAGTATGATGTGATACGTAGGGTATGAAAAAGTAGGGGTAAAAGTGGTTTTTTAATAGAAAGTGAAAGTGTTTTGTGGAAAGAAAAAAAACGAAAGAGGAAGGCCGGTTTTGTGGAACGGAGGGAGTAATTGGTTTGAATATGAATTAAGTTTAGTTTTAAAGTGTGTGGATATATACTTCCTCCGTCCTAGAGTATTTGTCCATTTTCATTTTTACACACTATCCAATACATTTCTTTAATTCATTTTATCTTGTAATTTGTATATTAAAAAATTATAGAAATTATATATTAATAATTTATATGTTAAGACAAATCAAAGAAGATCACACATGACTATATTTAGACTTACATATTGAGAGAATTTGATGAGTCAAAGTGCTTAGGTGAACAGTTCCAAAAGTCAAAAGTGGACGAATATAGCGGGACGGAGGTAGTACTACACTAGGCATATAATATAGCTGTAAAAGTATGAAGTGTACGTTGCTGTAATTACTGAGGGGGTAATAACGACGGCTCTGCATATTTGTACTATGGTTTCAGGTTGAAATACTAATGGAACAAGTTAATCTTCTAAAGAAACAGGTATATCTATATACATATAGAGTAGCTTTTATTTTGATAGATAGACACAGATTGATATCTATTTATATCTACTCTTAATTACTACTTCTAGCTAGCTAGCTAGCTCCTAACCCTAGATTCCTTTAGGGTTTTTTTTTACCACTTGTCCATAATCAAGAAATGGGTGTTACTCGATCTCCTCAATTCATGTAAAATTAATTGAATGGTTGAAAAAAGTGGAGAATTTTTGTCCAAATTTGAAAAGTAAACCCTTTTCATCACCCAAATATAGAAATATAAAATAATTTCTGCGTAAATTGTAAATTGAAAATCTATGAAATTGATTTTGGATGTAATTGATCATTAATTGTTCATGTTCTAAATCGAATAATCTCGTGGTTGATAATATTTCATTTGTCAAAAATTATTTACAGGAAGCTAAATTAATGGAAGAGAATTCCGAGTTGAAGCAGCGATCTGAAGTACTTAATCTCTTTTAGTATTATTAGTTGTTTTTCCCTCTTCGATCAGGGCATCTAAAATTTTAAGTATTCACTACCTTATCATATTTAATAAAAAAAATATTATTAGAAATTATCCAAAATACAGCATTATTATACTTGTATTATTATTGTTGTTATTACTAATTAATATTTTTATTATACCATTATTATTATTATTATTATTAAATGATGTAGAATTAAGTACATTATATTTTGCGAATGCAGATAGTGCACTCTTCTGAGTCAGTCACAAGTGGGTGTTGCATGTTACTTGACAATCTGAGGGATAACCACAAAATTTCCGATACTACCCTCAAGTTGGGGTATGCATTCTCACTCAATATTTAATCATCATTTAATTCCTATAAAATTAATTAAGGGTAAGATTGTCAGGATCCAACAACACTATATACGTATATATGAAGAAGAAAACTGAGAGAGAACAATGAAAGAGGGCTGTTGGCCAAAAATTATTTAGTATTTATAGTTATAAAAAATTTTGTCCTATAAAATACTCCCTCCGTCCCATAAAGTGTTACCCATTTTGACTAAAGTTGAAATTAAGGAAGGGATAATTTTGTGTTGACTTTCCAAAAATACCCTTGATGTGATGAGTAAAAGTAGGATGTGATATGTAGATTATTAGAAAAAAAGTATGATGTGATATGTAGGGTTTGAAAAAGTAAAGGGTAAAGTGGTTTTTTAATAGAAATGGGTAAGGGATTGTGGGACACAGTTTTTTTGAAACGTGTAAATCTTTTTAAGACGGAGGGAGTATATGTTTATATATGATGAATATAAAATAACATTATATATCAAAATTTAAAACACATTACCTAAACCACGGACAATAAGGATTTTATATCCGAAATTAGAATTTTCTTGCATATATATTTAGGTGATCATTTAATTCGGTAATTTTTAAACACTTCAGTTCTTCTACATTTTTCAACTCCCAATTTTTTCAAAATCCTTCCAAATTCTTTCAACACCCAACTTTGAAATTCTAACAAAAAAGAACATGGTCTTATGGTTTTGAAAAAGTTATATTAAGAGTTTTCAAAGTTATTCTGTATTATTTAAAATTTATTCAAAATGCTCATTAAAAAATATTATTCCCAAACAAGGCATTGATCTTTCAAACAATTACGAGTGTTGATTTAGATTTTTTGGCTAATCAACTTTATTTTTTTTAATGAAAGAATTAAATTACACATATAACTCTTGTGAACATATCTTAAAAAGATTTTATTTATTTAATGGTCTTCTTTGTGAGAGTGACAATCTACCAACCTCATAATTAATTAGGACCATGCTACATTTACACCAAAAATTATACCACATTTGTACACTGTGGTTATACACAAACATTTTGATGGTTTACACCGACACAAATATTGGTGTATATGTTAACAAAAATTTACACGGACACAAAGTGTTTATGAATTAACAAAAATTAGTTTTAGACCAACACAAAATGTTGGTGCAAACCTGCGGGGTACAAAGTGGAGTACAAAAGGTCGGGGTACAAGTAGCTTTATCCAATTAATTAATACGATCATATAACTAGATACTCTCTCCGTCCCAAAATATTTGCAACATTTGCTTTTTCAGCAGTCGCGGGAACTTTTGTTTATTTCTATGTTTTCATTGGTTATTTGATAAAATAAAATATTCTTGACACCTCTTATTCCGAAGAACTTTTCATGTAGTTTTTTGATATGTAAATTTTATTTTTTATTTCTATATCAATATGTAAATAAAATGAATAGAAAAAACTTGATATTTTGCATCGGGAATACAAGTGTGATAAATATTTAGAGACGGAGGAAGTATTTTTTTTGGATGCATATTCCTTTACTTGTGTTCATCCACGTGCCTAGCTAAATAGTGAGTGCTCTCAACTGCTTCTACCAAAATAGAGTATAAGCAATTATATGCTTAAATTTGTTTTTTACTTGTAATTATAATATTTAAATACGTACTTAAAAATTATAATAAACTACTCGTATAAGCAAGTTGGTACTTGCTTAATTGGCTTATGAGATTGACTTGATCTGTATAATGAAGTAGTTTAAGCAAAATATTTAAGTTGATTGTCAAACGGTAAAAATATAAAAACTGCTTAGAGTAAACATTTACTAAAAGCATTTCCTTATTAGTACGTATACAGTACTCTTTATTATTATTACGGAGTATGATTTTATTTCGAGCTAATTCATAGATAATTCGATAAATATAAATATTTAAAATTCCAGTTTACCCTTCCCCAATTGATACGAGGATATGATGAAGAGATGGGAGAATGCTACAACCTCAGTATATGCAAAGGCATATATATATATATATATATATATATATATATATATATATATATATATATATATATATATATATATATATATATATGTTAATATGTGCATGCATCATCACATGATGATGATGATGGTACCATTAAATATTGTGTTGGACAAGACTTAATTTTCTGGCTAGCAAACAACTGATAAGGTGCTGTTGTGTGGTAGACAAATCATTATTTATTCAATGTAATCCCACATGGTGTACTTTAGATTTAGATGATAAATTTATAAATCTCCGTCACCAAATAAATTATACTTCGTATATGAGACTCTTTAATTGTCATTTCTAATTTTGTAAAACTTTTGATATAGTTTTTTACAGATTATTATGTAATTTTTTTATTGATATACTAATTTTGCCTCGTAACTCTCAATTTGTAATCAAATTAGGGACTCAAGGTGTAGAAAAGTATATTAATATCGAGTCAATAACATTAAAAAAATTTGATCTAGCCATGTGTTTGGTCCTTAAATGACTTGAATGTTCTTGTAAGAGTATGTTATGAGTATTTGCAAGCAAAGCTAAAAAATGTTCACTCTATCCTGTTGTAATTGTGAAGTACATGATCCGTCTCAAAATAATTTTCTGGTTTACTATTATATATTCTTTCATTATACATTTTCCTCGAGCTAAAGTATTTTTTGAAAAAAATGATTTTCGAATTTACTATTTATATGATCAAATTATATATTCTTTCATTATACATTTTCCTCAAGCAAAAGTATCTTTTGAAAAAATCTATCTACATTCAAATAGAGTAAGAGTTACATACACATTTTCTATTGACATTTTCATTATTTGTTTGAGAAATTGAATTGGTTAAGTTACAACTCATTTTGTAAAGAATTTTATTCAATCCACATTTTTAATATATACTCTGAAATTTTTATTTTTTAATTTTATAATAACTTTAAAATATATTCTCCTTGTCTCAATTTAAATCGTTTGTTTTGATTTATGATAATTTTAGAAATTACTTTCAAATCATTTTATATGAAAAATTGTATAGAATTAAAAAAATTATATATTCAAAAGTTATATCAAAAGATCTATAAAATTAGTGGTGACATAACTATATTATTCTATCAAACGAGTAACAAAAATAAGAATAAGAAATTGAATAAAATTTGAACATGTGAACAATTAGCAAACAATTTAATTTTGAATTGAGAGAATATTTATTTAAAACAATTAAAAGTATTTTCAACCTAAAATCATTAACCAAAACAAAGGTTTTGATGTCAAATACCATGAGTATTTACTTATCTCATGGATAACTCTACCAAACACAAGTTCACTTATCTCAACATGGCCAACAAGGGGGGAGTTTAGAGACCCTCCCTCAATTCTTCATCTTGTTATTAAAAAAATCGCAGTAAATAATACTCCGTACGAAGTATCAAATTTATCATTATGAGAAAGCGCATCTGTTTGCTTGTATCCTCACCTACCACCCTGAATTCTTAGATGTGACACGTGATTTTATTTTAGATCACATGAAAATGGAATCTAGACATAATACTTCATACTACGGAGTATTTTTTATTTTTTAAGAAAAAAACCTTTTTTTTACCAGTGCAAAATGCATTTGTTCACTGATTTTTTCTTTGTACGAATAAAATTGCTTTTTGTATGCATTTTTCATGTCTAGAGTGAAATTTTATATCCCTTCCTAAAAGTTCAAGACAGTAGATAACGATAAAAGTAAAGAACCAAATTGAATTAAAAAAAAGAATAGTGCGAGGACCATTTTACTTTAATTTTACTAATTTGGTCGTTTTGAAAAACTACACGGGCCACACTTTGAAGTTTGACCTATAGTCCCTTATTTGGCTCTTTTCACACCCAAAATGTAAGCCTGCGTGTAAGAACATCTCCAATCATTCCATTTAGGCTTGCTAAAAGCAATGATATAGCAAGCCAACCTCTTTTTCCATCTCCAATGGTTGTGCTATATTATGGTAAGCTTGCTAAAAAAATGAGTTTGACTTGCTAAATATAACAAGCTCTCCAAAATATAGCAAGCTAAGAGTTGTAAATAGATTAGCAACTCATGGTTGGAAAATGAAACAAACAATTGCTTGCTATATCACTATTCACTTCCTAAAATATAAAAATAGCAAGCCAATATAGTAAACATGGTTGGAGATGCTATAAAGATCACATGAATTATTAGGAGTATACAACAAGGAAATGGCTATTTAATTCCAAAGAGTACAAAAGAATGAAGAAAACAAGCTAACATAAATGCAATTCTCTATCCCATGAATAGTATATTTTTGAGTGTAAATATCATTTACCTCAATTTGACTTGTGAATGCAGATCGGCTCTACAACAAAAACCCAGTATAATCCCAACATCATTGAGGTCTAGGGGTCAAGATATACGAAGTCTTACTCTAGTGAGATCTTACAGGTAGACGCCGTTTAACCGTAGATGCATTACTGCATTTATTACCTAAAACTTCATTGGAAGCAAATGAAATTAATGTCATTTTGATTTAAGTCAATTATACACCTAAGCTAAAACATTTTCTTTTTAGTTCCATTGAATATGAAGTGGTACTAAGACCAGTAAAAAAAAGTGCAACGTAACCAAAACAGGAATATATCTGTAAAATGGAACAATGTCAGGGAATTGAAGAGCTTAATATTCCTCCCTCTATCCATTTTGACTCAAAAAAAAAAATTCAAACTCAACAAATGCTTTGAGACGGAGATAGTAGGTCATACTCATGTACTGTGTGTGTGTGCATAAGAAACCTACCAGTAGGTTTTCTTTATATCCTAATTGCACACTATCAGTTCTCTTCAGACACTATAGTAGCCCCAAACAGAAAAGGTGAGAAAAGATTAATAATTCATGAACATGTACCGTAGAGGCGTAGAGACTTCATTCATATGTAAAAGGGCAGTTGCAAGCAGATAATGGGCTTGTTTGGGCAGCTTTGGGAAGCTCTCAAAATTGTTGGCAGGATGGGTTCACATTCTTATGGATTCTCTTGCGCCAATAATGCTGTAAGCTGTTCTCTGCGACGCTCTAGAGCCTGAAATGGATAATATGCGTATGTAGTGGTTATTCAATTACATAATGCAACTGCAGCAAATAACAACTACCACAGTAAAACCCCACAAAAAAGTAGGGTCTTGAGAGGTTGTGAGTACGCACACCTTGCCCCTACTCGAATGTAGAGATCATGTCTCCAAGAGACAAAGTAAACCAGCAATAGTAACTAGACTCAAAGCACACAACCAGAAGCTACAAACCAGGGCAAAAAGGCACCCGCATAAACTACAAAATAAAGGGAAAAGAAAGAAAACGTAAAAACTCGATGATGGGGAAATGTCTATAGCTCTTGAATCCATTTGGACAATATATAGCACTTCTCACAATATGTCTATTGTGCATAAATAAAATTCCAGCTTTATCCAAACAAGCTCTTGTGTATTTCATTACGGCTGTACTTGTAATACTTTAATCACACTGATGGTATATTGGGCCGAGAAATAGATATCCATGTAATTAGCCCAATATATGTGTCCGAGTTATAGCCTAAGTGCATTGGACCCAAACTCGACAACAAGCCATGAGCTTGATGGGCGGGTAAGGTTGATCTGCCGGATCATGAGGCGTGTACTAACGGGCTGGAGCCGTGAGCTGCTAGGGTCGGAAACATGGGGAGATGTTTACCTAGTTTCCTTATGAGACACAATTAGACCCCATGAAAAGAGGATCGCGATTAGGAAACAAAGGAAGCTATAAATAATCCTGCAAGGCAAATGAATGAGAAAGTATTTCCGATTGATTCTTGAGTTCAACATTCTTGTTTCTATAAGCATTCGTATTCCATAATTCTTAAGAGGAGAGTTTGTGAGTCAGTGGAATTAAGTTCCATCATACACCTTACCAACCAAGCCATGTGTATGCTTTTCCTCTGCATCCTTTTACAAATAATATACTAATAAATGGTTACAACTTACAAGTACTTGCAATATATTCAGTCTCAATAAATCTATCTAAATATAATACACTAAATTGTGTCCAAGATTATATAAATCAAATAAAATTGTCACAAGAAATTATGTAAAACAACATTACTCCATGATCTTTGAACTATTTTATGATTTTCATTTTCAATATTTTAAAGTTTCCTTGAAAAACACAATCAACACACTAGGACATGAGTTCTTAATTTTCATTTTCAATATTTTAAAGTTAACTTGACAAACAAAGTACACACACACACACATGACTTCTGAATGTTATAATTATACGGAGTATAAAATATGAGGGACTAAGTCAAGTGAGATGTTGGCAACTTGAAATGTAATTTAGAAACCCAACATAAGCTAGTTCGATGTTTACATCCAAATTTAATTTAGGGAAAGGAATATGTAGTTCCCAACATTTTTTATTCTTCCAAACAAATTCTAACCACATACTTTTCACTTTTATGTACTTCTCTAAAACTCCATGAAGTGAATCTAATCTATGATTCAATTTGGGCACGAGGTGGTATTTATTTATGACCAATATAAAGGCTAAGCAAATCAAAGCGTGTTAAAAAGTTCTCTTTTTTACCCAGATTTGATGTTCCTGAGCATTTTTCATTGTAAAACAAAACATAAAAAGAAAATTAACTTCCCTCATCATCACATTTCTTTTCCCAGGATCCAAAAAATGAAGTAAATGTCATTAACCATATTGTTCAGCACCAAGAAAATTGGAACCTGGGTTTCTGTGATGAACTAAGCACATCCTATTGCTAAATTACCTCCAGATCCATAATTGTTTGCTCCTTGGAAATTTCTTTATTCTGGCGAGCCCGTTTGAAAAACCCAATGCATAAAATTCCCTGAAAGAGAAAGCTTTAATGTAAAATATGAGGTGGAACAATCAAAAACCACATCAATAAACTGATCTCAACTGTCACAAGGTGCTGAAATGTATCAATGTCTTCCCCCCATTAGCTTATACTACATCCAAATATGGATGCCATTGTTCGAACAACATGCAAAATCTCATCATTTTTAATATCATTTTAATTATAAATTTGTATAGAAATAAAAAAGACAAATTACACCACACAAAAGTACATCAAAAGTTCAACAAAACAAAATGTGACAAGAATTTTAATTTTATCAAATGATCAATCAAAATATACAAACAAAAGTTATTGAGAGGCCGTAATAGTAACAAAGGCATCCATTGTGGGACGGAGGGAGTAATTACTCCCTTGACCCATAAAAAGAGTGATTTTTGAGAACTTATTTTCGATTTAAAAAAGAAGTACTCTCTCCGTCCCCTAAGATGTTCTCATTTTGACTTTTGGTGGTTTTTAAGGAGAGTTGAAAAAAGGTGAAAGTTTACCATAATACCCTTAATGAAAAATGGGTGGAGTGTATTAAATGAGGTGGGTGAGGTGTAATAAATAAAGTAAGTGGGGGTAGTTGTGGATTTTAATTGTTAAAAAATGAAATGAAAAAATATATTGTGGACAAAGAAAAGGGGATATTGGGAAGATCTATGGGGGGACGGAGGGAGTAATATTTAACAAAAGAAACTTAGCTTCATCATATTTGACATTTTCTTTTTCAAAAAAATCCCAACGGGGGGAGAGGGTGGGTTGGGCTAGGGCAGGGGTTTAAGGGGAGGTTGGGGGTAGGAACCATCATTTTTACCAACGGAGCACTGTAGGTGCCCCAAACTAACTGGTATAAGAAACTAGTGTGTAGCTGCCTGACAATTGGAAAAAGTTATCCCTAACTAAAATAAAAGGTTATACCTTTGTGAAACTAGAATCTTTTTATGGGGCGGGGAAGTATTTTTTTAAACATGGAGAAGGGCCATAATTACTTTCAAAAGGTTGACATCTGTTGCAACAGAAAGTTCTTAAATCAATTACAGAAATGTACATCGTATGAATTAACTAAGTAACCCAAATTAAGACCATAACATGTGACATGAAACATGAAAGGGCTCTGAATTATCAAAGTGAGCCACTGAATCAAACCCAAATATTGAAATATATATTTTCACACTCAATTCAATAAGGTGTGGTTTCTCTGAGTCTGGTTGGGAGATCTACGCACAGAAGTGGAGAAAGATGGAAAGGGATCAATGAGATTTAGCCTGTGTCGGGTTGGGAAGAAATAGGGAGGAGATAACTACGAGACAAATGTAAACTTTCTCTTGTTTGGTTATGATAGAAATGGGAGAAAAGTGTTCAACACTGTTTTCGTTTCTTCTTCCTAATTGACATAAATAGGAGAGATGTGCATTCCCTCCACAATTTCTACTACCGATTCGCTATCCTCCCTCTCTTGCCAATTTCTCTCTCCTCTATTTCTTCCCTAAACAAGATAAAGGATAAGGATTGCACAGATAGTTGCTTCAAAACACGCATGCATACAAGCTCAGGCAACATGCCTGGAGAGCCTTGAATCAACATAGACCCCACCAGTCGAGATGCAAGGTAGCGGCTATGGATCCCACTGTGATATGACAAAGGATCCATTTCCACTGTTGTGCGCTCAAACTGTTTGAGTATTTAGGTACTAGAAAGGCCTGTTAAACTTTGTTAAACTTACTGATAGGACATAAATGGCACCACATGCAAGAAGCAAGTAGCTTGCTATTTGCTGGACAAGAATCAACTCATGTTGTTGCCCATTATATTCAGGGTAAGCTCTGGTCATTACTGCAACACTGGGATAAACACAAATTATGACAATTAAAATTAAGCTAAACTACACAGCTCATAAGAGAAGTGTAGAAACAGAATAGGTAAGGGAGTTGATGTTTTAGTCTTTCGCACAACAGTCTTTAAATGATCAATCAGTGTCAAGTAAGCAATGTTACTACTCTTGTACCAAAAAGAAAAGATACATATTTGAAAACTTTTTCCTCCAAGATATGGTCACAATTAACAAAAAAAATCTCATTTGCATTACTTGTGTACTTTTTCAACAAAAAAAATCTAAACCAAGTTAAGGGTAACTAATATAGTTAAACCAGCATGCCTAGTGCTAAATACACTTCAAATCTAATTCCATATAAAATCTCTCAATATCTTAGGGTAAATTTCAGCAATGGTACCTGAACTTCCACTGGAATTTTGAAGTGGTGCCTAAACTTTAAAGCCTTTCATAAAAGTACCTGAACTTACATAATCCTTTCACTAAAAGTCCATTTATCCGTTTCCAAATTAACTTCCGGTCATTTGGGCTAAAATTGGAATTTTATATATTTTAAAATTTTTAATTTTACCCCATTTCTTTTTTTCTTCTTCTCCCCCTCCCACTCCCTTCTTTTTCTTCTTCTTTCACCCCCTTTCTTCTTCTTCTTCTTCTTCTTCTTCTTCTTCTTCTGCATAGTGCAAATATTTCTAAAATATGACTGTTAAGTTTAATTACTGAATCAGTAAAAGGATTTACCGACGGTGGCGGAGTGAAGGTGGTGGTGCCGTCGACGACATTGCGATTCTTGATGATAATGGTGTTGGTTCTCCCGTCTTCCAAGAACATTATGTTCGTCTTCTAGGGTCCGGCGAGTGGCGTGCGCCAGCCACGCTTTGCGTCTGGTCAAACTTTTTTTAAAAAAATAAACTGACCTTCACCTATTTAATCACGTTTCTTCTGGCACGTCACTCCAATTCTTACGACCGAATTCCCCCAAGGCTCGGAAACCGCTCCAGAGTCTCTTTAGTCGATTCTTCTTCAGGACTCCATCGCCAGCAAAAATTTTGTTATCTTAGGCGCAATTGCAGCACAAGTTGGTCACAACACTCCTCCTTTTTAGCATAGTCGATTCTTACTTTTTTAGTTGATTTATTTTTATTATGTTTTTTAATCCATATAATGTGTAATGATGCTGATTATTACACAGAGTAATTATTACGGCATTTTGTTTAATCTCTTGTTTGCTCGACTAGTTGACTCACTTGACCCACACAATTGCAATTAACATCTCACTTCTTATTTTTCTTTTTGTCTTATTCGTATTCACTATGTGTATTACGGAGTATTAAATTCCCATGCGTGCATGCATACATACACACATGCACACATGCATGCATGCATGAAGACATTTTGATTTAACAGATATTAAGAAGATTTCTGACAAATGTTTAAAATTGTAGAAAAGATTTGTTAAAATTTGTTTTAAAGAGAAATATTTTTATCTCATATTCTTTTCCGAAAAAAATGAGAAGAAAAGGATATAGTATTCTGAGACTGACGAAAAAGAAAAGTACGTAAATTATTTTGGTACAAAGGGCATATTCAATTATACATTATTTAAAAAATAAAGAAATGTTACATGTACACTACATTTAGAGAGAACTTACACCACACCTCAAATTTTAAACAAGAATAAAGAAATGTTACATGTAAACTACATTTAAAGAGAACTTACACCACATGCATGCATGCACAAGCATCCATCCATCCATCCATACATACATACATACATACATACATACATACATACATACATACATACATACATACATACATACATACATACATACATACATACATACATACATACATACATACATACATACATACATACATACATACATACATACATACATACATACATATATATATGTTCGCCATTTGACCGCCCGCCTCTCGCCATGCCTCTCGCCATAAAAAAAGTTCTCTCACCCGCCCCTCGCCATTCGCCATTAACAACTACGGCGACATGGATGAGGATATGATGCAGAACTTGTAAAGCAATGCCTAACGTGTGAAGCACAATAATAGTTTCTAATCTCATGTGCATTATTCACGTGTGAAGATTTGTGGTTCCACTAGATTTCAAAAATCATAGATGTAAGGACATTCTACACTTGTGCGGCTATCTTTCATATTTTAAAAATGAATGAAAATTAAATGTATTCTACCACAATAAAATACAACTAGACCCAACTGTAAGAAAACAATGCCAACAAGTGGCAATAGTGAGTGGTTAGAGAAATGGTCGCCAAGCTTTTTCCCAAAAACAATGATGAACAGATGATGTGAGACACTGTCCATGATGAAGAGACATATGTGGCATGGGAGAACCGACAGTCATGAAGATATGAAAGTGATGATAAGACAACAATTTGAAAGGAACTCACGAACAATAAAATTATTATTAGAGGGAGTCGGAAGAAGCGACACTAGGGTAAAAAAGATGCTAGTTAAATGGAATAAAATAAATAGGGTTACAGGTTAAATGTGGGGCGTATTTAGCAGTTTGAAAAAATAAAGGGTTGTAGTTTGGTGAATGCTGACTTTTTTTGGGGACAGACTTGGTGGGGTTAGTAGGTGATAAAGGTCTAAAACAATAATAACACTTTAGGATTAAGAGCCGTACATACAATATTTGCAGCATACCCCTTCCAGCCCAATATTCCAATACCTGCATCAGTTTTTACAATAAGATGGATCAGAGGGGATATTGACTTCTAAATGGAAAAGAAAGCAGGCAACAAGTGTCAGATAGACATGAAAACATAGTAAAGGTAGGCTTGTGACCAGTAGTATCGTACTTTGGTTTGGAAAGCCATCTGATGACCAAATCTAATTTTATTTTTTTCTTTTTTAGAAACACATATAGACCCTTCAGATCAACAGGGACTGCAATATGATTCATCGCATTGTAATTAAACACTTTCACATTTGAAAATCAATCAAGGAAAGTATGCATCACGGAAATAAATAAAGTAAAAAATAAGCATCACAGACCTGGCACCTAGATTTATGGCCATCGTCCCAATTGTGTTGGGTGATGGCATAAATGTTACAGTGTGAACAAGCTGTGTAAAATTAATCATTACTTGAAAATACACATTTATGCAGAGAAAAAAAACATCAGCATTTAAGCCAGAATGAACATATGAATACGAAAATAAATTGCTTCCAGGTATGAAATGTTCACAATTGACAAACCTTCCAGAACTTGATGAAGAACCCCCATTCCGTTTCAGCAACAACCACAATCATTGCAATCACAACCGCATAACACCGGAAAATTCCATCAAACACCTGAGGGATTAGTGAATCACAAGTCACAACAAATGTTTTTTTTAATTTCGCAATAAGTAGAGAAATCTAATTGTTAACCCTAACTAGAGACAGAGACGGATTATTTACATCATATCCGTTTCTGAAGGATCGGAAAGCGGAGTAAACATTGACGGCAATGCAGAGAATTGCAGCCACCGAAGTGACGAAGCTGAAAACTCTACAGGTGAGTAGGAACGAGTCTGCTCGGGCTCGAACCCTGGTCGCAGATGAAACCGGCGGCGGTTGCTCTACACGCCGGGAATGGGAACTCTCGCCTAGGTCTCCGTCCTTCGACATCTCGAGACACTTTCTCGAGTTCTGGATATAGATATCAGTACATCGCCGTCCGTACTGCTCTTGGAAGAGCGAAGGAGACGATCGAGGCTTTTAACGGGTTTCGGCGGATGCGATTTTGGAGAGTTCGGGTAGGGTTTAATTAAGGGCGTGTTTGCTTGTTACACGATCGAGGCTTTTAACGGGTTTCGGCAGATGCGATTTTGGAGTGTTCGCCGTTCGGGCAGGGTTTAATCAAGGGCGTGTTTGCTTGTTACAGTCTTTTTTAGAATTTAAACTCTTAATTTTTTTAATCTTACTAATTTTATGATTCACCCTCATTTTTATTTTTTCTTTAATTTTTTAATATAAATAAGACACTTTTTTTATATTAATCTTCATTATAAAATAAAAAATATATCAATATTTTAAACTATATTAAAAAATAATTGATAAAATAGTTACATAGAATGTTTTATAAATTTAAATTCATTTGGACAAAATGGAGAAATGAAAAAGTTAGCTTAAAATGATTAAGTAAGACCTACTTATTTTTTTAGCTTATAAGCACATTATAAACACATAGAAACATATCTATCAGTTGACTTATAAGTTAAAAACAGATTATATACTTAGATAAACAACAATTAAAAAAGCTTGTACAAAGTTTGTAATACGAAACCGAGAAAGCAAACTAGTCAAAAGCGGATGAGATTGATTTTTGATACTTGGTATTGCAATTGGTGGTTTAATTTCACTGGTTTGGTATTCACCTACAATCGAAGACAAAATAGAAAGTAAGTTTGTCATCCATTTCAATTCAATTTTGCTCAAAAAATATGTAAACCATTAACTTTAGTCTTGTTTTATTCGTTTTTATTTCATTTTATTTCGATGTTTTTAGTTTTAAAAATAAAAATTTACAAGTATTAAAAAAAGTTGTAACAACACCAACTCGATAAACACTAACAAAGTAATACTCTTTTAACAAGGTAATTCAAATTTTAGTGAAAAAAATCAGTTTTTCATCATCTCCGATAGAGCCAAAATTTTACCATTTTTTGACTTTGGGATGTGATGGAATAAATCAAAATTGATCTCCAAACTATATGTACTTCTTTAATTAATGAAGTAGTACTTAGTCAAGCAATGCAACTTTTGACATTGAGCCGGGGATCTCTTTAGAAACAGCCTCTCTACTTTCGAGTATGGGTAAGGTCTGCGTACACACACCCTCCCTAGACCCTACTCTTGTGGGATTTAACTGGTTGTTGTTGTTGTAGTGAAAAAATCAGATCGATATTACAACCTTTTTAATGATGCAACACCAAAATAACTATTGAATCGACCAACGAAACCTTGTAAGTGTAACATAAAGTAATTTTTTAAAAAATAAATAAACATTTATAGTAGTAAATACAATACCAAAGCAAACTATATCTTCGAATCGAATATTTGAACAAACCAACTCCTGAAATACAATAGCCAAACATTTATGTTTTTTTCATTATCTTTAAATTCTTGAGGCAATTTAGTAATTCTTTTTAACTCCTACTTCATTTGCAATTTCTAAAGAAAAATCACTTAACAATAAAAATATATATCGAGAATAAAGAGTAGATAACACAAAGTATATGAATAAAAGATAAAGAACATAACTGAAATCTGGAAAAATATTTTTCACAAATTCTTATTATACTTTGGTTTAAAACGGCGTTATTCAGTTAAGTCTGTCTTAATCGCACATAGCATTCAAATGTTTAGTAGTAAGCATTCGAATATTTCGTGATAAGATGCAACACTTCGCGCAGAAAATCACTAAAATGATATGTTTAGCATTACTGTTGCATACATTCGAATGTTGTGGCCAAACACTCGAATGATCTATGTAAAGTTGTGTTGTTTCGTCAATAGACACGTTCTATTAATTTGTCTCTCACACACACACACACGAAATCCCATAGTATGTTTGAAAGAACGATTGAATCTCCATACTCATTAATGTGAAATTTAACACTTGATTCATTTATTCTATCAAGATTGTTCACGCTTATTCGTATATCATTTTACATAACGCTGATAGCCTGATACGCAAGATTACCACACTCCAAAATTTCTAACATTATGTCCGAGTTATTTGACCACATGATGTATTTGTTTTTATTATTTAAAAATTAATGTACTAATTTAATAGTGACGGAAGACCACAATGATTATGTATGTAGATAGTTTTTTTAAGAAAAATAAAAATCACAAAAAATCGAAGTAAACATAACTTCTACAATTTTATTTGTACGGTTTGATTCCTTCATCGTCGGGTAAGGGTGTCAGTCCAGTGCTCCATTTACAAAATTAATGATTTCTAGTTTCACGAATCCCAGTAAATCCATCTTGACACGAAATATTTACGTTGGATCTCGGTGAAAAGATAAGTTGTATTGTAATGAAAAACATTATTTTGTACAGTAAAAACATAACTTATATTTTGGTGAAAACATAAATATGTGTGGTAAAATATAAACTTGTACGGAGCACAATGAAGACATAAGTCACGGTAAAAAATATAAATGTGTATGATGAAAACATAGTTGTATCTGGGTAATAATGTATTTTGACGAAAAATATAAATTGTATCTTGGTGAAATTTTATGGGTAATTTATCTAAATAAGACTAAAATATAATGACTTTCTCAATATAAGACTATATGTTTTTAATTCCTAATGTAGGACCATTATTAGTCATTATTTATTAGTCATTATTCAACTAAATGTCTAGCATCACTTGAACATTATTCTTCTCACTAGTCATTATTAAGTCCTATTTAGGAAATAAAAAAGTTTAAATCTTAGGGAAAAAGACCAAAGTAGAACTAAAATATTGAAAATATACCAAAATAGGATTTTCATGTTTTATTCCCGAAATAGGACTTACATTACCATACATGGTCATATACATTACTAAAAAAGTATAATAACTTACACATGTACACTGCCACATTAAAACATGGCAAAACCACATTACCACAATGCCAAGTCCTGCTTCGGATAAAAAAAAATGAAAGTCCTATTTTAATATGTTTCTATATATTTTAGTTCTATTTAGGGTGATTTCTATAAATCTTATGTTGAGAAATGATTTATTTTTCAGTCAAATTTTTCATACAGTACAAATTTCACAAATTTTTATAGGGTGATAATGTAAGAGTGGATATGGGCAGTAATTACTTAGTACAAGTTGGACACGGTGACTAAACTGTTAAAGCTGGATGATCCTTATCCTATGCTAATAATGCTATTCATTCCGATCTTCATCGGCGATGCACGGTAGTCTATTGCGTCTTTAGAATAACCGCCGGCGATATACTCTTTCCGTTGATTCATAGGGATGCTTTCAATTTCTCCTCCGCCATTTCCGCCCCCTTCGGCGCGGCTTGTTCCGCACCACCACAGGCTCGTCCTCTCCAACGAGAAATTTGTTCCTCCGTTTGCCCGTTCGTCCTCGATTTGCAGCGCTAACTCACCGGTTTGCTGCCGCTGCATCCGCGGCGGCGCGGATCCGTCGCCGTCGGAGTCAGAAGAAGGTCCGAGCTGGAAGTGGGACCTGGCGATTCTGGAGGCTGTTAAGAATGTGATGAAGCGATTCAATGAATTCGTGAGTCCAAAGCGGAATGAGGAGAGCGTCGGAATTGTCAAGGCGAAAATTGCTGAAGAGGATGAGGAATGGGATTGGGTACGATGGAAAGAGCATTTCTCCCAGGTGGAGGATCAGGAACGCATTATTTCAAATTTAAAGGTAATTTTTTCTGCCATTTTTCATCCAAAAGATTTGTGACGATTCTGATGGAGGTGTTTGTTCTGCAGTCACAGTTAGCTGGATATATTAATAGAGAAGATTATGAAGGGGCGGCGAGGCTTAAGGTAGCTATAGCTGCTGCTGCTGCAAATGACACTGTAGGCACAGTGAAGTCTCAATTCAATGTATGAGTTCCTCAACTCTATACTTTTTAAAAAATCAAATCTTGATTGTTTGTTTCTTTAGTGTTATTCACATTTGATTATACATTAATTAGTGTTTTGCATCAATTAATGTTCGATTGTTTTGCATTAATTAATGTTCTCTTTCATTGATGGCTATATGTTTTTGAAACTCGAATGCAGGACACAGTGGAGGAAGAGCGGTATTCGGATGCTGCCTGGTTACGTGATAATGCTGGCACTGGATTGGTTAGTAAGCTTAACCAGATAACTTAATGTTTGAGCATCCATTCTGATTATTACCCAGTTCCTCATTAATTTTCACCCTCAATAAACTTCACTTTCACTATTTATAGAGTCAAAACATATCTTCTTTCTTTACTTATTTACTTTAACTATTCTTTAGAATAACATAATCTTGTCACATGTTTTAAAGAGCTTTAAATGTAGTTTTATAATAATTAAATTTAGTTTCTTTGATTTTACATTAATATTCTAAACAATTGAATTGAAAATAATCCCTGTCAAACAATGGTAAATTGAATTTCATGCAGTGCGGTTAATTAAGTTAGTGCTCGAAAGATATTCCGGTCGAGGAGCATAAAAAGCAAGCTGCCAAACATGCACTAATTTATACTTGAAGAGTCTGTTTAATGAATATGTTTGTATGTGAAGTGATGCACAATCTGTCACAAACTCTAAGTGCATATTGTTTCTAGTTTTCCTGTTCTCCACATGTGTACTTGGTTAGCGTTGGTAAATTTTGCAGATGTTTTTTCCCACATTTTCTTTTGAGTGCTCTATAAGTTCTTGAACTTAACGAAGCTTTTGATATGAGCGTAGGTGGGATGGTGGGCTGGAATTTCAGATAGTGATCCTTATGGGCACATTATCCGTATAAGTGCTGAGTATGGAAGATATGTGGCTAGAAGTTATACACCAAGGTAAATTACTTGATTGAAGGCCTCCTTTTAATGATTCCCCTTGAAGAAGGACAAGAAAGAGATACTTTAGATTTATTTTGTAAATTATTGTGAATATATAGTAATATACTCATTGGGATATGCATCCAATTTTCAGACAGCTTGCCTCTTCAATGGATGGTTCCCCCATCTTTGAGATATTTCTGACAATGAAAAAGAAAAACAAATACAAGCTGCAGGTACTGCTTTAAAAGCATATGGTTTTTCTCTAAATTACTGTTCAAG